ACAATTAATTGATGGAATAAAAATTTCTTTTTTTTCTTGGTTATCATTACTTGATTCTTGAAAAGAAGGTAGTGATGACGAAAGTTGAAGATTACCAACTGTTTTAGAATATTTACGAGGTGGAACTGGCTAATAAAAAATAAGTTAAATAGTTAAATAAGAAAAAAGGTATAACTTAAAAAGAACAAACAGGTGGTGCAGAATGGTCCATTCTTTAAGAAATATAAATGAATTTTTTAGATGAGTTTATTAGATTGAAAGTTATTTCTTAATTTTTTAATACAAAATTTTTTTTAGTAGAAAAATTTTATTTGATAAGACTAATCATTAAAAATTAAATTATTTGAAAACAAAATACTTTCCTTTTTAATTCTTCATTGATATTCGAGTTGTGTGTTCCACCATATTAGGAATTAAATTAATATCTCTAACTACCTCATTTAACATTGTTTTATTTGACTCAGAATACCATATCGAAATTTTTAAACTACTTCCAACACTATATGATATACCAACTAATGAAGTATAATAACTGATAGTAGAACCAATACACCACAATACCTAACAAAAACATAAGTAATTAAAACCTTGATTTTTTTATTAACTAAACAAACTATTTGTTGATAAATTATATCCCATTCACTTTTCACTTTTTCACTAAATGAAAGAATAATTTTTTGACCATTATTCGGAGTATTTCCACTCTTTAATAAATAAACGTCAACCCCTTTTGGCATAACTTGTAATGAACTCATTGACAAATAGACACTCCAAAAATCTTCAACACTTTGAAATATAGCAATAGACTTTGCATTTAATTCAGAAGAAGAAAATGAACCACTCATCTCATCAACCCACAATTCCCAACAATCAGAGAGTTGATGTTTTTCTTCATGATAATTTCTTACATTCCAATTTTCTTCTGTCATTTTCTTTTATATTTTTTTGTTTCTTTTTTCTTGTTTTTCATATTTTATTAAATTTAATTTCCTCTTTCTTTCTCGTTTCCACAAAACTTTATTAATTATATTCAGTATTAATTTCATGACCTATATAATTTATCTCTTACTAATAATTTAGAATATAAGATTTAGAATAAAGTATTTTTCTTATTTATATTTCAATTTGTTCTAATTCACATAAAATCCAGTTCATTATAGGAACCAACACCTAATTCTTGTCATAACATCAATACTTATCATCATTATCATATGGATACTATTGTTTTTGTTGTTATTATTTTATTTTTTATTTTTTAATTCATTTGATTACTCTTCTATTTTATTTTTCTTTATTTAATTTATTCACTAATTTGGATGATGAAGAGTAGAGTTGATAAGTAATCACCTTGTAATATTCTTCTCTTCAATTTAATACATCCTAGACATTCATTATATTTATATCATATGATTATATTCATCATATTTTATACATTATTTATGTTGATTCATTTTATATTAAATTATTGTAATATTTCTATTACTTATTCATGATTAATTGATTCATATAATTTATTAATGTCATAATATTAATCTATATATTTTGTATATTTCTATTCTTTCTGATTATTTAATATATAATTATTAATTATTCATTATTTATCACAAGATATTATAATTTACATCTAATTAATTTTTAATAATTTTAAATGATTCATTAATCTTATTAATTCTATTATGATTATTATATTTTAATAATGATATAAATATTTTTATAATTACATTCATACAATTGACATGATGATAATTAATAAAATATCACTTCTTTGTTGGTTAATATTGTTATTCAATTTACTATATTTAATTTGATGAATTCATTGAAATTTAACTATTATTAAATATATTAAGAATATATTCTCTTGGTGTTGATATTTTCTTCATTTAATATAAATATATAATATCAATACATGGTGATTTCTAGTTACTTATTTTCATCATAATTAAAATTAAGTCATCCAATATGATGATATTATCATAATTTATGTATCTTTCATTCTAAATTATGATTTAATTTATTTTCATTTATTTAACTTGATTGATGATAATATTAAGATATTCATTATCAATACCAATAGTGTTATTTTTCATATTAATGTTTTTTATTATTGAATTATACTCTACTTTCTATAATAGAATTCACTTTTAATTTTAATATATATCTTTTAGTTGTTTATTTTATTTTATGTGATCTTTATCATTATTTATTTTGTTATTTATCATTTTTATTATATTTTCTATTTGTTCATTTCTTAATTTCTTATTTAATTTTTTATTTAACAAATTAATTGCAAAATAATACAACACATCAATTAAAATTATATTTGTTTGATTTGTTGTGTTTTTTCGTTTTTTTTTTTAATATTTATTATTCTTGTTTCTTGAACCACTAAAAAGAATCAAAATTGGAAAAAAAATATGGTATGGTCATAATAAAATGATATTATTTGAAGAAATTACATAATAATAAAGAAATAATTATGAAAATATTTCAAGAATGGATAAAAACACAAGAAGAGAGTTCAAATGATAAGATGAAGAATAATTTTAATATTAAAAAATGTTAATAATACAAAATCAAAGAATTACAGACCAATTTCATTTTTAAATGTAAATATAAAAAAGTATTCATATTAATAATCAAATTGAAAATAGAAGAAATAATAAAAAGAAATGGCGAGAATCATCAAATTAATAAATCACGTTATAATGAAAATAGAAGTGTTGAGCAACAAAAGAATAAAACATGAAAAGTACAGTAAAGAGAAATGAAGAGATATTTATAAATATTTTATGATATAAAGAAATATGATGAATCCCTGAACCATAATGATTATTAATAATATTAAAATATTTTAGTTTAACAAAAAAATATAATAGAAATAATAGAAAATATGAACAATCAATAGAGAATAAAAATAAGATATAATTATAAAGAAATAATTAGAAACATTAAAATTGAATGTTATATTATTCATTGAGGTTCATTATCATCTTTATTATTCAATTTACAAATAAATGTACATATTCAATAGTTTATAAAAAAGTAGAATATGTATTATATGATGATATGAAAATAATAAGTGAAACAAAAAAAAATTGTATGGAAATAACAATTAATAAAGTAATAAATACAATAAAATGAATAAGGATTGAAAATAATATAAATAATTATAGAATAAATAAGTCTGAACATAATAATACTAAATACTGTGAAAGATATACAAATGAGAGTATTATTTTGATATTCATCATCTTTAATCAATTTATAGATAATGAAATTAATTAGTTTTGATTAAATGATCAGAAAAGAAATAATTAAATTAAATATGAAAGCGAAATAATTATGTAGAATAAGATTATATGTTAAAAAAGAACTAAAAAGAATTGATTAATATCAATTAGAGACGAATATGATATAGAACTCATCAGAACAATAATGTAAATCACACAGAGAAAAAGAGATTAAACAAGATAAATAAAAAATAAGAGATATATGAGAGGAAGAGAAATGGAAAAAAAAATAAATGAATATGTTTATTAAATATATAAAGAATAAATTCCATCAATACTATTTAGATAAATAGAAAGAAAGAAGACTAGTACAGAAATCATAAATAATTTTAACAACTATATATAGATAAAGAAATAACATTAAAATATTAAATAAATATAGAAAGAAAAAGATACGAAGAAGTAAAAATAATGCAATAAGAATCAACAAATTTTTGAATAATGAAAACACAATTAAAACATAATCAAATATAACAATATGTCAATTATGTGATAAAATAAAAGCTATAAATCATATATTGTTAAATTATATTATAACTAAAAGTCATATTGAAAAACATGATATAATAGAATAAATTAGAGAAGATTAAAAATTAAATATAAGATGTTTATAAATGATAAAATAAATCAAATGAGAGAAAGAATAAATGGAAAATACAAAATAGAAAAGATGAAGTATGAAGAATAGAACAATGAATAGATAATGAATGTATGGAATAATGAAAATATGAATAAAAAAAAAGAAATGAAATTACACAAAAGAATAAATATTTATGTGAGAGAATCAAAAAAAAAAACAAATATACACTTATCATAGATATGAAAATTGTATAAAATGAAAATATAAGTTTTGTATTTATGAATAAAATGGACATGTAACCTGTATTTCAAGAAAAAATCCCGAGAATAGAATGAATGATAAAAGTAAGAATATTGTTAGTTGTAATAAGAATATAATGATTAATTGATAATGAAAAAAGAAGATTATTAGAATAGTTTTGAATAAAGATACCACTGGAAATAATTGTAAAAGATATAGTTAACAAAAACATGAACATTTAATGAAATAATGATGATTTTTGTGAATATATGAATGTAGATGGAACAGAAGAAAGAGACTCATCTAAGAATGAATAAAGGGTGTAATCTCACTTGAACAACAGTAAGAATACTTGTGTCTTGAAACAAAGTTTAAACAAAATTTAATCCATGTTCTCGTTTTTTTTTTCAATTTACTTGTTGTTTTCTTGTTTTCACTTTAACTTCGTTATTTGTTAATATTCTATATTTATTATTGGTGTTGTCTTTATTATCATTATAATTCGTATTTTTTCATATTCAATTTTCATTTCTTATTTCTTTTTATTCACTTTTTCATTGTATTTCTTTTGTCATTCTTATTATACATTTTATTACTAGTTTGTCATTCTCCTATATCTCCTTGAATTTTATGTATTTTTTTGTTTTCTTTGCAAGAATCAAGATTTAAGGGATCTATTTAATAACAAAAATAATGAAATTTGTTATTTATTTATTCAAGAAAAAAATACAAAAACTAAACAGAAAAAATGAAATTCACAAAACTAATAAATGAACTAAATCTTAAATGATGATTGAGGTATATCGGAAATTGAGACTGAACAAAAAAGGAAAAAAATGAAAATAAAAATAAAAAAAGATTAAAAATTATCTTTAGTTCATCAACTAATTATGTCTGCACAACAACCACCTAAATTCGAAATAAAGAAATGGAACGCTGTTGCTTTGTGGTCGTGGGATCTTCAAGTAGATACTTGTGCTATTTGCAGAAATAGTCTTATGGAATTATGTCTAGAATGTCAAGGAAATACAGGTTCAACAACTGAAGGTTTGTTTCATTAAATAGTGCGTAAGTAATTTACAATATTCATCTTTTAAGAATGTACTGTTTCATGGGGAACTTGTAATCACGCATTCCATACTCATTGCATTTCTTCATGGTTAAGACAACGTGCTGTCTGTCCTCTTGATCTCAAGCAATGGGAATATGCTCGTATTGGTAAGTAAATTTTAGTCTTTCCTTTTTTGTTTTATATCTCATTAAATAATAAATTACAGAATCACCATTATATTTTGTTTTTATTCTTCTTGTTTTTAAGTACACAAAAAACAGTGCTGAGAAAAATACTCTCAGAGACAAATAAAATACTTAAAAAATACTTTTTTAATGAAATGATTAAACCCTCAGGGTTGATAATGAGACAAGAAAAGAAAACCCTTAGAATTGATTATTTCATAATAATCTTAGGTGATGGCTGCTAATATTGTTCAAGCGTTTCAAGCTACATTAAGTCCTGACCAAAATATTAGAAATCAAGGTGAACAAGTTTTAGATTCATTAACCACACAACCACATTTATTACCACAAATCATTCAACTTGGAACAGCTAACTCAGGACAATCTGATGACATTCGTAAATCAGCATTGTTATGTTTTGGAAGAACAATTAATAAAATAGATGATCTCAGGTCTATCAATCAAGACGTTTTACTTCAAATTTGCAATTCATTAATTAATTGTATGAAAAGTGAAACATCAGTACATCTTAAGGGTGCTGTTGCTGCTGCTGTCAGTAATTTTGCTCAATGTATGTCTAGTTCAGAACTTGATTGGAATGGTTATTTCCCTACCATTATTGAAATTTTAAGAGATCCAAGACCATTACAACAAATGATTGCACTTGACACCCTTCAAGCTTCTGTTTCACTTAAAGGTTCAGAGACTCTAATTGCTCTTCAACAACAAGTTGTTCAATTTTGTATCCAATCCTTAACAAATGGTGACACAACAATGAAACTTACTGTCATTGATTTTCTTTCTAGTGCAATAGTTCTTTTAGAAACTACTGAGCAACATGGTGCTTATGCCAAACAACTTATTGTTCCATTACAAAATACATTAATTTGGTTAATTCAAAATAACAAATTTGATGATTTTGATAATGCCTCAGCATCATTTTGTGAACTTATAGAAAATTCTGAATATCTTTTTGTTGGTAATGAAATTAGTATTGCTACTCAAATGTATCAACTTTGTTGTTCTGCACAACATAAAGAGACACAACAAAGTGCACTTGAAATTGCTGTTTGCCTTATTTCACAGGAACCAAATCTTTTTAAAAAAAATCCAGTACTTTCAAATATAGTATTGAAACTTCTTGAATGGTTAAAATCTATAGACAATGATGGTGCTGAACTTCTTCTCAATGACGAAGATCCAATTGAGGTTGAAAATTGGTCATATGCTGAAGATGCATTCTTTAGAATAGTTGAAGCAGTTGGAGGAGCACCAATTAAAGATGTATTATTCAAAACAACTTTAGAGTATTTAAATATGGATCAATGGAATGCAAGGTATGCTGCTCTTGTTGCTCTTTCATTATCAGTAATACCAGGAAAATACATTTTTAAAACTACTATGTCTGACTTAATGAAAATTGTACTTAAATTTGTTAACGATCCACATCCATTAGTGTTGCACGCATTACTTGATTTACTCGAAGAATTAATTGAGGCATTCCCTAAGATGTGTAGAAGAAGACATTTTAATGAAATTATGCAAGTTGTTATTGTATCATTTAATTCTACAGTTGTTATTGTTCAAGACAAAGCTTGTTTTGTAGTTAATTCTCTTCTTGAAGAAGACAAGCAAACAGCAGAAAAACTTTTACCATTTGTACAACCATTAATGGAAGGTATTTTCAAAACATTAAATACATCTAATTTAAAAGCTGTTTCATCTGCATTATCTATTATTGTCTTTATTACTCGTGTACTTCAAAAACAAATGGAAAGTTATTACCCATTATTAAAGAATGTTGTTGACACATTATTACCAAAATGTAATACTAAAGATACTTTAGAACATAAAGGAAAGTTAATTGAAATTATGTGTATCTATAGTATTATTAATACATCATTCTTCCCTGATTCAAGACAAATTGTTCTCAAAACATTTGAAGAATTATGTAATTCTAATGATGTTGGTTCACCAATGTTACCATATATTTTAAGTGGATTATGTAGATTTTCAGAAGCTAATGATGCTGGATTTATTCAGTGCCTTGGTCCAATTGTTCAAATAATATTAAAAAGATTACTGTTAAAAGAAAATCCAGAGGCTGTTGTCATGGATAATGAAATTTCAGTCACTAATCCTTACACTGAAGAAAAAGTATATTTACTTCAAACATTGTTTAGAATAACAACTTCTGTTAAAAAAGCATATGGACCATACGTACAAGATACATTAAATGTTTTGTTACCATTAATAAGTGATCCAAATGCAAGTATTAAACAAGTCACAGCCCATCTTATTCCATCTATTTTTGAAGATGCTATATTTATGGTTCAAGACAAAGGAATTACTGATCAAAACAGTGTCTTACAACAAGTAGCACCAATTTATTATGGTATTATTGATCATTTATGTATATTATTAAAGAAAGAAAAATTCACTGATAATATTCAATCATATTTAACTTGTTTAAAGATGGTACTTGTTCTTGGTGGAGATAATACACTTGGAGAAGATAGAATTGGAATGATATTTGAATCATTTGATGAAATTCTTAAGAAAATTCTTGATGGAGTTGGTATTGAAAATGATGATGAAACAATTCAAATTCAAAATGTTGATACAGATGTTCTTGACGATGAAGAATACGAAAAGATTCAAGATGCTATTGAAGAAGAAGATGATTGGTTATCTTTAATTTTAGATATTACTTCATATATTTGTAAATCACACCAAAAGACATTCTTTACTCCATTCCAATATAAATTATTCCCAAGAGTTATGATTTATTTCAAACAAGTAGAAGATAGTGATAAAGTTTCATTTGCAGTTGCAATTATTGGATGTGTTATTGTTGATGGTAAAATTTATGATTTTGTCTCACAAGTCGCTGACCAATTTATTGAATTTTCACATCATAAGAATATTGATATTGCTAATAATGCTATTTATTTCCTTGGACAATTTGCTAAAGTTGATATTCCACAATTTGTTCCATTTATCCCAAAAGTACTTCAGTCTGTTGGAGCTATGTTAAGCAGACAAAGAACTCGTGCTGCTGTTGAATTAGCTGATCAAGTTTTAATTTGTGTTGGAAACATTATTGGACATTATTATACACAAATTCCAAATTGGCAAATGATTATGCAACAATGGCTCAATTTATTCCCAGCTAAATCAAGTTATGATGAAATAGTTAGTTTATTATATGATCTTCATAATAGAGGGTTATTATTAGAAATAATGAAACTTGGTAATGTAGCTGAAAATATATATAGAGTAGTATTATACTTTGCTCGTTCATTAGAAAATGAAAGTACATCAGATGAAACTAAGAAGTATATCGCTCAATTAATTCAAGCATTATGTCCATTAGTACCACAAAATGTTATCTCTGAGATTTGGGGTAAATTGAGTATAGATCAAAGAGGAGATTTGGATTCATTGTTCCATAAATGAATAAACGTTTATTGAATGTTTTGGTTAATTTTTTATCTTTAAACAGGAATAAATAATAACCCTAATTAATTCATTATAAAGTCAATTTAAGTTCTTTTATTGAATTGGAATGATTTGCAACAATCAACAAGTAAATTTGGATGCTGATACTAATTCAACACAGTCCAGTCAATTAAAAAAGAAAAAGGACTTTAATTTTAATAATTATAAAACAAGACATATTGCCATTCATTTGACTTATATTGGAATTGATTATAACGGCATTCAATGTACATTATTAAACGATGTTACAGACTCAACATTTGATTCAGTTGTTAATGATGGGACTATAGAATATCAATTATTTAAAGCACTATTTAAAACACGACTTATTCAAAATACAAAAGATTGTAAATATAACAGATGTGGAAGAACAGATAAAGGTGTTTCAGCATTTGGACAAGTAGTTGATTTATGGGTGAGAAGTAATTTAAAAGATGAGACAATTTTATATACGAAAAGAGAGGGTGAATTAGATTATTGTCGTATGTTAAATGGATTATTACCAATTGATATTCGATGTCTTGGATGGTGTGGAGTTCCTGATGACTTTAATTCAAGGTTTAGTTGTCAATCAAGAACGTATCACTATTACTTTGATCCATCTTCTTATGACGTTCCTAAAATGAAAGAAGCAGCTCAACTGTTTCTTGGAGAACATGACTTTACAAACTTTTGTAAGAAAGACCCTGCTGTTCCTCATTGTATAAGAAGAGTTAATTCATTTGAAGTTGAAGAAATAAATGGATTAAGTAGATTTGTTGTATGTGGAACTGCTTTTGTATGGCACCAAGTCAGATATATGGTAGGAGCTTTATTTGCTATAGGACAAGGTGCTAATCCAGAAAGTATCAAACAATTATTGGACGTTGAACACTATACTAAACCTAATTATTTTAAATATGCACCAGCATATCCATTAGTATTATATGAATGCAAATATGATAGAGTAGAATTTTTGTGTGATAATTCTAATGTAAAATTGCTTGGAGATCTTGTAGAAGCATGGAAAGAAATTGAGATTAAAGGAATGATGAGAAAGAGTTTAATGACATTAGCTATGGAACAAAAAATGAGTGATGGAAAACTAACTGTAGGAGAGAAGCTGAAATTAATAGAAAAGAAGAAAATAGAACTAAAACCAAAGAGAATAGATAGTAATAATAAATAAATTATTATTTTTATTATTAGTGTGGTTGTGATAAAGAATGTAAACAACGTAATAATAAAGGTTGAGAAAGATCAACAATAAAATCATCTCCTCCTTGGGAATTAAATGTTGCAAAAAAGATCTGAGTTATTTTTTCAAACAGAATTGGGTGATCATTAATTAAATCATTATTCTCAAAATAACGAAGATACTCAATAGAAACATCAGGAAGTAAATATGAAAGTGAAATTGAGAAATCTTCTAAATATTTCCAACATGAACTTGCTTCATGACAACAAAGTAATTCCATTGATTTTTTTACTGAACAAAAAGGAGCCATTTTTTCTAAAGTAGGAGATGATTTACAATAACACCATTCAATAAATATTTGTGCTGAAGATTCTGATACATCAATTTTTAATGAAGGGCAATGAGGTATAATAATTGATGAGTGAATATGAGTAAATCCGTTTTGATAATTAAATATTGCATCAGTTTCTATATCTCTTCTTGTTTTAAATATTTTAAATAATGTAGGATCACAACCAGCTAATTTAGGAGGAGTTGGTGGCATAACTTTAAGATAATGAAAAGGGGTATTTCCGTTTTCGTCAATATCTAAATAATTAGCACCATTTTCGATTATATTAATAATTTCATGAAAATCATTTTTAATACATGACTCAATGAGGGACATAATAAATAAAAAAAAGAAAGAACTTAATATCCTATTAGTTTTGCTTTTTTTATCTTTTTTATGAAGAAGGTTTTTAGTTCAAAAAAAACGAAAAAAAAATTATAAAAACATCTATAACTATTCTTCTTTTTAATCAACTGTTATGAGTGACCCTGATTCATTTTCACAGAACTCTTATAAATCAAAGACGTCTTCATGTTCAAAGAAATCAAATCAAATTTCATTTAAACAATTAGCTGAAAAAAGTTTATTAGATATTAAAGTTTGTTTATAAGGAAGTTAAATTTATTACTTATTAAATCAATTTTGTAGCACAAATTTTATGAATCAAATTCTATTATTCAACCAAAAGAAGAAAGTAATTTAAAATTATTTAAAAGAGTTTGTCCTATGAATAGTACTAATTATGATTGGAAAAGATTACGGTGTTTTCATTTTAGTTTGAAAGAAATGAGAATTAACGATTTTAATATGAAAGGAATACCAATTGGAATGTATAACATTATGAATTATATTTATAATTCTCTTAGTAATAATCTTGATTGGTTTGAACAAAAAGAAATAATAGAATTTTCTGAAATAAGACAAATGAAAAAAGTTGATTCTTTATTATCTTTAACTACTTTTGAATTATTAAAAAATTATTCTTTAAAGAAGTTAATTCAATTAGGTATTTCTCAAAAAGATGCTGAACGTATTCTTTTATTATGTAAACAGAATGATCATAGTAATTATTTTAGTTTGTTATTTTTTTATAGTAAATCTTTAGATTTATTAAATCATTAAAATTTAGAACAATTAAATAAAAATTCATTATTTAATAATGAAGACTTTAAGTTATATTTTAATTTAATTAATAAGTTTAATTCATCTCAAATTCCTTTATTAAATAATACTTGTACAATTCAAAATGCATTTGTGTTATTAAAGTTATTCTTTCTATTTCTTCCTACACCAATCATTCCATTTTGTTTTTTGGATTTCATTAAACAACAAGAAAATTGTAAGTTAAATAACCAAATTGTTATCAACAAACTAAAAGAATTGGTAGGAAAAATTGAATTTAATATTATTAAAGAGTTATTCAAATTTATAAATGAAATCAGTGAAATGACACAATTACCTTCTGATGAATATGAAGAATTAGTAAAATGTTATTTTAATGCAATGTTACAACAAAGTGGATTTAAAAAACGATTTGTTAAATATTTTAATAATATTACTGAAAATGAACGATTCATTGAAACTGAATACATTCATCAAATTGAAGGAGAAATAGTTGTATTAAGAATAGATGAAACATATTGTCCTTTATATGTATTAAATGGCAAAGAAGTTCTTGATATGAAAAATACATCAACATATATTAAAGGGAAATTATGTATTACTAATTACAGAGTATTATTTATTCCATCTCAATTTATTCAAGAAGACTTTATGAAATTCCTTGGAGAATGTTGGATTGGGGAAATAGATTCTATTGCTACTTTTGATAAAGAAGAAGGATTTTATGTTAAATTTCAATGTAAAAATATAAGAGTATTATCATATTATTGTATTAGTACTAAATTTAATTTTAATGAAATTATTGGTCATCTTCAAAGTTTACAAAATTATCCAAATGAAATCATTTCATTACCTCATAATCTTATGATAAATAAAAGTATTGAAATAATATGTTCACAAGAAGCAACAAGAATGAAAATTATTTCAAATGAAAAAGGGAAATATTATTCTCCTAATTTACCATTATATTCTCATTGTGTTATTGATACTATTGAAATAACTAAACCTGTTGTTATTGTTTATCAACATTTAAATAAAAGTAAATTATTACGATTAGCTAAAATTATTAATGAAGGTTTATATGAAGAAGTTTATGAAACAGGAAGTAAAGCCGAAAAAGCATTAAAAATATATTGTAAAAGTATAGATAGTATAGACAGTATTGATAATATATTTCAAGATTTAAAAAGTTTTGTTTGTGAAGAATCAATAAATTCTGAAAATATAAAGAATTATAATTCATTAGTGAGGTCTATCAACGAAATTGTTAATAACCTTTTATCTAAAGTTATAATGGTTTTTAATAGTCTTCATAATTCCTGTGAAGATATTTTATTAATTAATGATAAAACTGGTGAAGAAGATGTTTCAATATTCTCGTTCTTAACTCAAATAGTTGCAGATCCTTATTACAGAACTTTGAAAGGATTTCTTATTTTATTTCAAAAAGAGTTTATTGGGTTTGACGCTTTCATTTCTGGTCAAACATTATTACTTTTAGTATTATTTTTTTTAGCAATAGAAGAATTAATTAATCAAAATTTATCTCAATTCCAATTTGATTCACGACTAACTTATTTCTGGATAACTCATATTGGGAGTGGACGGTTTAATAATAATAACGAAAATGGAAAGTTTGACCAATTAAGTGCTATTATTAATTACATATATTCTGATTCATCTAGATTTATTAATCCTTTTTATAAACCAACACAATCTGAATTAACATTTAAACCATACAAATGTTATTATTCATTTGATAAATGGTTAGGATACTCAAAAGGTAATATTGGTCTTTTTGATAAACTCAATAAAGATAAAGAAGTATTACAATTTTCAAAAAGAAATATTTCTCAATTTCCACCTTATCAATCAGTAACTCCATCACTAAAAGATATTTTGTCAATTGACCTTTCATCAAATAGAATGAGTGAGTTCCCATCATCTTTGTGTTTAATGAAAAAACTAAATAAAATTTCATTACAGAGAAATGAAATTTATTATATCACTGATGAGATATCAAAATTAACTAACTTAAATGAACTTTCTTTATCTAATAATTATATTACAATACTTCCATCATTAACTTCTCTTCCATTAAAATTACTTGACATTTCTTTTAATAACTTAGACAAACATCAGGCACTAGAATTAAGTCCAACGATTGAAACGTTTATTGCTCAAGGTGTAAAATATTATCCAACACCAATTTGCGAATTAACAAACTTAAACATACTAGATTTGTCTCAAACAAAATTTGAATTAGAGCCATTATTCAATAATCCGCCAATCCATTTAAAAGAGTTAATTTTACAACATTGTGAGCTT